TTAGGCTGGCTTGTGTAGCAAGCCAGACTACTGTTATCCTATTTTTCTTCTGAGACTAAAAAACAAAACGCATCTCCTCCTAGAGCTTTCGAGCTATGACCACCAAACTCACACCAAACCTTCAAACTGGTCTGATTCAGTGTGCTATATCTTTTCCAACTGATCTGACTTTCGGTTTTCCAAAAAACGTCCCGGGACCGTCGGAAAAATCCCATTGACTTAACATTGGACCAGACTTTGTGACCTCATAACTCTGCATCAGACTGTCACACAGACTTCTAACTGGACTCATTTAATTCAGACTACCTAACTGCCAATACCTGATGAGCTTTTAACATTTTTGGCCACGCCCTAGTAACCACTTTTGGGATCCTAGAAACTGTCCCATAGACTTCCATTCAAAAGACTGTCATTGACTTTACATTGGATCAAACTTTGAGAGCTTATAACTCTGCATCAGACTGTCCTACAGACTAATGGCTGAGCTCATTTAACTCAGACTACCAAACTGTAAATAACTGATGAGCTTTTAACATTCTAGCCACTCCCTAACAACCAGATACTGCACCCTAGCAACTGTCCCATAGACTGCCATTATAAAGACCCAGATTGATATCGTCATGCTGTAGTGTTATAGCAACATGCTAATAATGATTAGCTAAGTACTTTAACATTCTAGAAATTTAATATCTATCTATCTATCTATCTATCTATCTATCTATATATCTATCTATCTATCTATCTATCTATCTATCTATCTATCTATCTATCTATCTATACTTTTTAAACTGTATAAACTAAATAAACTATTACCAACAGGCTTTCACAAGCCAGCCTCAAAGTTTGTCTCGACAAACTTTAATAATCTAGTTACACTTAATCCAACAATTAGACGGTCTATTATGTTTTCTTTGTGTATATGGACACATGAATAAAGTCATACGTTTCTTTAACCAATTATTTTTATTTACATAATTTAAGTTCAAAAACTGCAGAGATGTTAAAATGATCGTTACGATATAATAATAATAATGACTGAAATGGGAAACCATATTTGTGAAATTCAATAGATGGCGATAATGCTAAAGAGTTAGTTACCGGTTTGCCTAGATTGTGTGTCCTAGATTGTGTGTGCCTCAAACGTGTGTGGTTCTGCGGGCCTGCAGCCGGATATATCTCGATCAAATAGTCAAACTCTTCTCTGATTGGTCAAAAATGATCTATGGTCAAACTCTCCTCTGATTGGTCAGATTGCCCTTTTCTTCTTTGTTTTGCTAAACAATGACTCCATTTATCTGCATTTGGATCTGTTTTGACCTTTTACATTCACCAACAGCTATGCAAACAACATTAAAGGTCAGAGGAGTGATATTAGGCGCAGAGCTTTGTTTTTGTGATAATGAAGTGTGCTGAAACTATTATGCACACTGAATATTCTCTTCTTGCTTACATCTGTTTCTCTCTCTCTTTCTGTCTGTGTTTCAGGTGTGAAGTTCAGAGGGACCACTCAGTCCAGACAGGTGAGATCCTGCACATCTGTTTAATCTCTGCATGTGTTTATTAAAGGGATAGTTCACCCAGAAATGTACATTTACTCACCCACATGACATCCGAGATGTAGGTGGCTTTTTTTTTCTTCAGTAGAGCATTTAGATCTATTATTGTCCCTTTTATGTAGAAAAACATCTCATTTTAGCACATTAAAAATAATTCTTAATGTTTACTATTCAGTGAATTTACAATAATCTAATTTGCTCTGTGTTAAGAATTTACAGATCAGTCATCATACAACTTGATGAAACCACAAATCTTTGATGAAATAACTTTTTAAAGTGAATGTATGCATGGAAAATATATTCTATGACAAAAATGATCACATTTAACCAGCATTTATTATATAATTGGAGTCAAATTCCCAACAATCTCATTTGAGCTGTTATGAATATCATTCAATCATTCATTTTCATTTCCCTTTATTAATCCGGGGTCGCCACAGCGGAATGAACCGCCAACTTATCCGGCAAGTTTTTACGAAGCGGATGCCCTTCCAGCCGCAACCCATCTCTGGGAAACATCCACACACACACACACACACACACACACTCATACACTACAGACAATTTAGCCTACCCAATTCACCTGTACCGCATGTCTTTGGACTGTGGGGGCAGGCCCGGATTGGCTGATCGGGAGGACCGGGAGAATTCCCGGTGGGCCGGTCCGTTTTTTGGCCGCGAGGGCCAGTGTCCCTAATCTGTTGCTCTCAGCAGTCACACTTTTCAAATATAATTTATTTATTTACTTGACCACAGCCTTCTTATTTATTATTTTACCGCAGCTCTTTTTATCTATTTTCTCGCAGCCTCGTGAGCAAGATGCAGCCTCCATTCAACGTGCAACTCTTGTGGTACTATGGTTAGCACGTTAGGATATGACGCGGCCAACCAGGATTCGGTCCTCGTCTAAGAAGTTTTTTTTTCCATTTTTATTGTTAAGACATATAATACTGTAAGGGTTGTGGAACATTTGAAACAATTTAAAGCAGCTGTTTTCTCAAAAAAAGACGTGATAGAGTAATTAGAAGCTGAATTGGAAATGACCTTATTTTAAGATGGTCAGTGGTGAACTGAGGTGGGCCGGTCTTAGGGTGCTTTCACACCTACACTTTTGTTTGGGAACGTGTCTCGTTTGCCCAGTTAGCGCAGTTGGTTTGGCATATGTGAACAGGGCAATCGCGCTCTGTTTCGTGCCAAAGTAATCGCTCCGAGATCGCTTGAATGAGGTGGTCTCGGCTCGATTGAAACGAACCCTGGAGCGGTTCGATTGCAGTGAGAAAGCGATCCGATCCGAGCGCGGTTATACACAGTGTTTATGGATATGTAATAGGCGTACGGCTATATGAAGAGAGAATTATGAGTATGGTGGGAAGTTTCGCGAGTCTCCGAATGCCCACAAACGAGTGATGATCTCCCGGTAATCTCGCGTCTCCCTCCCGGTCATCAAATAGGCATCGTCGCGCACCCTTCTCACCCCTCCCCACCGCATCTCTCCTCAGACACGTCGCGCGCGCACCCTGTCAATCACCACCAAACCACCACCTCTCCTGACAGCTGAGCGAGACGCTGCAAAATAAACCCTCGCCACTCGCACGTGACTTGTTTTAGCTCTTTTGGTCCGATTAGAAACTTTGCAGTGTGAAAGCGAACCGCTCCAAGAGCAAAGAGCAACAATGCAACAATTATAATCTCTGTTTCAGAACAACTGAATCCATTCACAGGTGTGAAAGCACCCTAAGGCTTGAAACTCTAGGGCTGAAAAAGAGCCCCCTGTGTGGGGGAAACCGGAGTACCCAGAGGAAACCCACGCGAACGCAGGGAGAACATGCAAACTCCACACAGAAACGCCAACTGAGCCGAGGATTGAACCAGCGACCTTCTTCCAGCCGCAGAAGGGAAGGGGGGACTCAACTGTTTCTAAATGCATTTTAAATGATAAATGCGGTTTTCTTTCTACTTAGACAATTATTTTAGGTATATATGCATATATTTTTCACATATATTTTTTTTGGGGGGGACACAACCCTCGGATTTACACCCCTATATAAATCACCAAACATAACAGATTCAGCTCAAAACCTTCTACTGAAAAGGGTCACCTGCATCTGGGATGACCTGTGGCTGAGTAAATGAACCTGCTCATTTTGGTGTGAACTATCCCTTTAAGCAGACTGTAAGACCCCTGAACATGCTTTTAATGTTCTCCTGGCCCCATGTGTTGTCTAAGGGGACTCGGCAGATTGTTGGGTTGTAACCTGCCGTCTCTAATCAAATGAACCCTGACTCCATAATGAACTAATCACCTCGTTAATAGCAGATTTATGATTATTCGATTCATTGACTTTATTGCACCTTAATGAATTCAAATGAGAAGTTAAATTGATATTTGCCACAGGCGACGTGTTTCTGGAAATCAGGTGACGTCGAGAATTAAGCAGAAATCCTCGTCAATTATTGGATTAGAGCTGCAGAGCACAGATGAGCAGGAGAAACACACACTGTTCAGAAACACACTCTTTCAGCACAGGCTGAGTAATGGCGCCACCCCATGGCGGAGATAAGTAAGACACACAAAATCAATGCCAAAAGCATTGAAATAATGAAATAAAAAGCTTGTCAAATTGCACTAACCGAAAAAAATACATTGAATTAACACCTGCTTGCATTTTAATGACTGTAATTGCAAGAGTTTGTAATTTTAGGTCCTGAAATTTAACACAGCTGTGTATTTAAGATGTGAATATGTCAATTCAAAACACATCTTCATACTGAAATTCAATATTTCATATTCAACTTCCAGATTTCACTTCCAAAATATTCAATACCTTTAAAAAATACGATGTAAAGAATTTAACAGGCAATTTTCAGATAAAAAAATTCACTTCTATAAATTCAGTGGCTCAAATTCGACTTAATTTATTCGACATTACACCGGGGAGCTGCAGGAAAAGCAACAGAATGCAGATTGCAGATTCAATAGGTTGCAGATTGCTTCTTAAATTGACTATTAATAATAATAAAATAATAATAGTGCAATTAAAATAATGAAAATAACCCACAGCCTATCCCAATCTTGACATGCTTGCGTGTGTTTAAACAACGATAAAAAGGCCGTGTGAATGCAAACACTTCATAGCCTAATATTATTAACCCCCCAATCAGGGCCGGAGTGGGACTCCTTTTCAGCCCTGGAGTTTCAAGCCTTAGACCGGCCCACCTCAGTTCACGACTGACTATATTAAAATAAGGTCATTTCCAATTCAGTTTCTAATTACACTATCAAGTCTTTTTCAAGAAAACAGCTGCTTTAGAACTTCAAATGTTCAACAACCTTACAGTTTTATATGTCTTAACAATAAAAAAAAAATAAAAAAAAGTGAATCTCTGGTGAGGATCAAACACTGGACGGTGGCTTGATAATGCAACATGCTGACCGCTTGACCACAATGGTACTGCAGTGATGCAAGACTGGAATGCTGAGTGCCATCAAACATGTTTGAAATGATCCCAGAGGCTTGATTTGTGTTAAAAATATTCCGAAAAGTATTAATGTTATATTTATATTCTACATATTATATTACTAAAGCACAACAGCAGCTTGTTTACATTCATTGGATATAATCAGGGCCGGAGTGGGACTCCTTTTCAGCCCCGGAGTTTCAAGCCTTAGATCGGCCCACCTCAGTTCACGACTGACTATATTAAAATAAGGTCATTTCCAATTCAGTTTCTAATGACACTATCACGTCTTTTTTTGAGAAAACAGCTGCTTTAGAACTTCAAATGTTCAACAACCCTAACAGTATTATATGTCTTAACAATAAAAATGAAAAAAATTCTCCCGGTCCTCCCAATTAGCCAATCCGGGCGTGCCCCCAATGGTTATGCCATTTTAGACGGTGTTGTAATGAAGATGCTCCTTTAATACATTCTGTTATGTTAAATTGTTTTAAATTACACGTCCCATCTATACTGTAAAATCTTACCTGAACATGGCAGTTTATTTATTTATTTATTTATTGATTATTTTGATGTTTCTTTTTTATGTAGTTTTATATTATTTATAGATGTCAATAATAATAATAATAATAACAAAATAATAATAATAATAATTAATGTTACCTCTATGGCAAATAGGGATATCCTAGAGATGGAGATAATGTGCAACATCATATTTGTCAAAAGACAGTTTACGTGAATTAATGTACCTTTTCATTTACAATAGAGAAAAAAACACATTAACATAAATCAAAAGATCTGTGTTTTTTTGTCAAACATTCCACTTTTCACAGAATTGTTACAGAAACACGTTCTCCCATCTACAATATGACACATTTTTTTCTCCAGTTTTCACACAATGCCTTTGTAATCACTGAAAAGTTCATTATATTTCTTTCATTTTAAAACAGAAATATAATTATGCAAAAGTATTAACGAGATATGCACAATGGTTGATTAGTTGTACAATTTAAAATGTCTGCATGAACACTCATATGCTTTTGGCAGCTCATGCGCGTAGTGGAAAGCAAACGCCAAAAGGTGCAGATATCAATAATCAAACTGTATTCATCAGAAAATGCTCACCAAATGATTCTTAAAATGCCTTAAATGTTTAGTTTACAACACCCATATTTTTGTTTTATAGAACTTTATCATTAATGTTTATGAGCTTCTTTAAGCATGTGCTTTTAAATGATGATTTATGTTTTAATATGGAAATTATTCATTAATCACTTTGCCTTTCTGGTAATATTTATTTGTCCAACATTTATGTATCTCTTTTTTTTATGAGAACAATTGTGTTTCTTCATTTCAATTGTACCATAAAAGATGCAGAGCAGTGTCATTCCAGCTCTTTTCTGAACCACATAAGGTACAACTTTTACAAAGGTACAACACTGTTCCTAATAGAACATTATTTGTATCAGTGTGTGCCTTTTTTCTGAGAGTGTAATAAACAAATGAATATAAAATGTTAATATTTTGTATATATTATATAAATATATTACATAAAAATATAATGTAATAAAATAACTTATATAAAATATATAAAAAATATATATACATATATATATATATATATATATATATATATATATATATATATATATATATATATATAAAAGTTATTTTATTACATTATATATATATATATATATATATATATATATATATATATATATATATATATATATATATATATATATATATATATATATATATATATATATATATATATATATATATATATATATATATATATATATATATATATATATATATATATATATATATATATATATATATATATAAATATTTTGAGTCTATTTTTACAATTTGACACTTGTAAACCACAGCAGAAAGTTCTAACCAGCAGGCCAGTGTCATATACAGTACATATACTTAATAAATAACCCACTATAAATTTAAAGAATTAAAATGGCTGCGTTTAAAATGACATCAAAGTGCACTGCGAAGGCAGCACAATTGTAAACATGAAGATCGCTAAAACTGAACTG